TGTTACTAACATACATATAAGATGAACCTAGGTGTTTTACAAATATTAAATACTATCAATAAACGTTTACTTTCTGTGAAACGATTGCAAGTTCAAAACTCATTGTATTACTTTCACCATAAGAATTCAGTCTAAATCAAACAAAGTATAATTATATTTGATCTAATCCACAATACTCAAACTTTTTACTGATATCTATCTAAATCAGTTATATTTACAATTATACTTTCACAAAGACGTTCATTGGCATAAAATATAAAATGGTGGAGACATGGATGTGACGTCGAAGGGAGCAGAGAATTCAGAGGTGTAGAAAGCATAGGAGACATGAAAAGAAGATAATGAAACACAATACAAAGGTCAGAAGTAGCACAACGCGGAAAATCTGTGAAAATGGAGGTTTGAAGATAAGGTGTACATAATTTCTCTGTATAGAGATGCCAAATTCCAATGAAATGTTCCTTTATCGAGTCTCTAATCTTCTGCCGTTACAAGGTGACGAACGGCCGAGATAACTTGGCACTACTTCTATTACGCAACGAAACATAACTTGATTTGCTTTGACAACTGCGAGACTTTTTCTATTTACTATAAGGAAATCGCTAGTTACTTACTTTTTCATGGTTTATTTTATCGTGAATCGACTAGTAAATGTGATCACCAGGCTGAAAAACTCATAATCACAGTAAAATCTGAATAAATGTTGGCTGAATGTAGTCAAACGCTGAGGCTCTCATGTCTGGGCATATTCATTACAGACGAGTACCGACAAGCACGAATTATAGTTTTAGAGATTTATTCCAGCCGTCCCAGACATCTGTTTCATTTTTATTCAGAGTTGTCTTCACAGGAGATCCCCTGTTTCACTCTGTGTTATCTCCCGACTTTTTGTGTTAGTGACTAATCAAATAGTAGTTACAAATGACGATTTTAGACAAAATGTCTAGGCCAGAACGATCGGAAAGTTAACAACGACTCATTTATGTTATTGTTCGATAAGAAAAATGGAAGCCACTGAGTGATGTTACCCCCTTGGCCAACTTAAAAGAAAATGTATTGATGAAGTTTATTTTATTCGTTAAAGGTAAATCATGTTCTGACCAAATTAAAACTCTACGCATCATCATCGAACAAAGCATGAAATGGCAATCAAACCTCTACCTCAACTTTATAGACTTTGAGAAGACATAGAAGACGTGGATTTCGCGGATGATTTATGTTTGATGTTACACAAAATCGAAGGCTTACAGCCAGGAGAAAACCAACAAACTGGTCGAAGAAGCAGCACGGACAGGACTCTAGGTGAACATAGACAAGACGGAGGTTATGTAAATAAAAAACCAACAAGAACAACAACAGTAGTTACATGCAGAGCCAATCACCACCAACGGGAGAAATTTGAAGGAGTTCACTTCATTCACTTATCTAGGGAGGGAGCATTGTCTCAACTACAGGCTGTCGGAACGAATGAGGATGTCAAATCGAGAATCGGGAAGGCAAAAAACACATTCATGAATCTGAAACCAATCTGAGAATTTTCATCACTCAGCATCAACAACAAAATTCCGTTGGATTTTCAATACAAACGTCAAGTCACCCACTCATTTCTTCTATACGGATCAGAAACTTGGCGGGTGGGTCACAAAGAACATTTCCAACAGCCTGTTGCAGACCAAACCTTTATCAACAACTGTCTTCGCTGGCTCTATACTGAAGATCAGATGGCCGGGCCGGAAAGAATCACCAACAAGAAACTATGGCCGTGAACAAACAAAACTAGAACCAATCCCCCAACAAATATGCAGGAGAAAGTGGAGATGGATCAGACACTCTCTGAGGAGGCCGCCGCTGGGTGACATCGCGCGCGCGTCAGGCCATTGCTCGAGTGGAACCAGGCCGAAAAGGAATCGGCGAGTGGGACGTTAGTGCAAGGGTGACATGAAGGAGATCGTGTGAAGAGGAGTTGAAAGAGTATGGACTAAGATGGATGCAGGTGAAAAGTACAGCAGAAGACAGAAGCAAGTGGAGACGTGCAGTTGAAGCTCTATGTTCCTCTAGGAACTCAAGGGAGCAATAATAATAATTTTATTTGCCAATTTCAGCATAAAAAGATATGATAGCAAGGGAGAACAAGAACAGAACTTTTTCTGTCTGAAAGGCCGACCAAAACAATGAAGAATGATGCTAAATATGAGTATATTATGAATGATCTTGATGACTAATAAATTATCCGATAAGTTTAGAGTTGACAGCCAAACAGCCTTCACGAAGAATGAAAGCAAAGATGCCATGAGTATGCGAAAACAGGAAAGTAGATTAATTTTAGAGGATATGGTAATATTCGATGAAAATTAAGAAAAGCCAATAGTAGATACCATTGAGCAAATTAGCTTGTCAAATGATACACACTAACAGATGCCAACATAAACTTTCAGCTAATATAATATCTTCTCAATGGTTTGATTACGCATACCTTTTTTCTTGAATGAGCAAATATCTGTTTAACTGCCTGAATTGAATAAATCAAGTTAAAGTCCTAAATGTATTTCAAACTCTAAAAACGACTTATAGATTTTACATTCCGCTAAATAAACGACCAATACTGTTTTGCTAATACGAATAATGACTTATATTATTCAACCGGTGAAAAAGGGTAAGACTGAACACAAATGATACGGCATTTAATTTTGGCTTTTATTTAAGAATTTTGTCAAACTAATCTTCACTTTATTAATATTGCCTAAGAAAAATTCAAATTGTATTCATTATAACTGGAATGAACATTAATTGTATACACAAAATTGCATTAGGTTAATGTGTGTAAAATGCAAGCTTCATCATTCTGTAAAAAGCAGGAATGTTGTAATGAATAATACTTGTATGTTACAGGAAGTTTTCTGTCACTGTAATGATTAATCTGTTAATTAATTAGTTAATTAATTAATTCAGTTTCAAGCATCAGGAAGAGATGTACAAAATACCGAAATGAAAATCATTAAAACTAGGTGCAGAAGAATTGATCGATGAATTCTGATCATTTTGAATAAATGCATATTCACTAGATGATTAGTCATAATTGTTTGTTAATATTCCCTGTATTACATGCTTCATTAAATCCAGTACTGGTAGTAGTGGGAGTGGGTTTTGGTTTCTCATTTCTTGGACTCTTAGTCATTCTCATATTTTCGACACTTTGAGGGCTTAGTGAATAATACCTTTTGACATTGTGGATACTTGGTGAGCACAGGATGCAGGCTATAAACAGTGAAATGCACCTGTGAGTGCTTCTTGGATGTTTTATTTGTTAAATTTGTGCGAAGTGGATATTCTTCCTGGTTAACATTACTCACAGAACCACTAAGTACTACTGAGGGTTGACCACTGTCTTGCTCTAGATTAAGACACTTCAAAGTAGTTAATTATTAAAATGATAATCTTATCATTCAGCCACCGAATAGCTTTTGAATAATTTATAATTTCTAACTTTTCTCAATGAGCAATCTACTCCTAAGGTTATCCATAATTTATGGGTACTTATGCAGTGAATCAAGTGACTGAAAAGATGAGGTACTTGTTTCCTACCCTTTAGCAATTAGGCATCCTCAATAATGACAGAAAGGACGGAATAGTTACCCGAAGCTGTATGACTGTCAGTTTTCGTTGTGAAATCTACCCTGATAGCACTGTCGATATCCTCCAAAAGGCATACTGTGAACTATGCGTTGAGAGTAAATCGATTACATTAATCTTAATGTTCTGAGACTTGTTTGGTACGAAAATGTATTATTAATCTTATTTCATTATTGATTATTATCGTACCCTTGGGTTCCTAGTGGAGCATAGAGCTTCAACTGCACGTCTCCACTTGCTTCTGTCTTCTGCTGTACTTTTCACCTGCATCCATCTTAGTCCATACTCTTTCAACTCCTCTTCACACGATCTCCTTCATGTCACCCTTGCACTAACGTCCCACTCGCCGATTCCTTTTCGGCCTGGTTCCACTCGAGCAATGGCCTGACGCGCGCACGATGTCACCCAGCGGCGGCCTCCTCAGAGAGTGTCTGATCCATCTCCACTTTCTCCTGCATATTTGTTGGGGGATTGGTTCTTGTTTTGTTTGTTCCCATATTTTCATATTTCATCGTTTTCATTATATTGTAATTTCAAAATATTTATTTTTATTGTGTTTTAAATGGTATCTAGTTGGTTTTTGTCTAAAGCGTCAGCGTACTATACGCTACAGTTGTACTCCACTTCATATTTATTTGTAGCCAATAACAATTAGTTTTCCTATTATATATATATATATGAAATAATTTAGGTACTAATTCCTTTATTCTTAAGTTCGAGATCGGGAGACTGTAGTATATAAATATGTATAAAATATATTAGTCTGAATGATTTGTTTAGGAACCCCTTGATGTCTGAATCAAATTCGTATAAAGTACCTATTGTAAATAAAACGTCTGCTCTATTCTTAGTCAGCATTGTATAATTAAGTCCTACTACCTTATGTTCATTCAGAAAATCCTTGTCAGACTGCGTATGGCTTCACAAAAACAAATATATTTCTTATTTATCTAGCCGTAGTACTACTGACAAGGGAATTCAACCATATATTTACTTTCAGTGTTTGACATTTGACCAAATACTACTCCAGTGCTGACCTTTACCAGTCAACGACCTACTAATTAACATTTAATAACACTCGGTCATCCTTAAATTCAACTCCCTTGTCATTTTTGTGCCTAATGACCATTTCCTGTTTATACTTTCGCATAATACTTTTGCTTGTTATTTACAGTTTTATTATTGTTGATCTTAAACAGTATCTTCGGTAGATTATGCTGAATCATCTTAAATAACCGAATTGATATTAATCTGCCTAATTCAACACTATAATAAATAAAACACTACATAACCTGAACCAATCAAGCTTTGTTAGCTTGTTATTCAATTGGATAAATTTGAGCCAATCAACTTTCTACATTTGAAGGCCTTTTCTATGTAAGAATTTGGCACTCTAAGTATACAATTATTCATATGCATGCAAAATATTGCCTTGTTAACTTATATTTTCTTGATAAATATAAACTGATTAATAGTTCAATTATCCCCAGTTTGCATAAAAACTGTTCCGTCCAAGAAAGGATTTTTTTAATTCACTGGGAATAAAATTAATAATTTGACGTCAAAAAGAAAGAAGTTGACCAGTGGAAAATACATACTTCTTTCTCACACATTCATTGCATGGCAGGTGAAATAGAGATGATGGATGCTAAAACTGAAAACAACAAAGAGATTGACAAACAAATGAATTCAAGTGAGATACAAAATCAAATAAGTTTAGGTAAACATATTTTTTCCTCCTAAATTATTATATGTTAAATATGAAAAGTTTAAAAGTGTATTCATATGATTTTCTTGACATATCCTGGTCAATTGAAGGAGTTCTCTTTTCATAAAAGTTTTTTTTCAAAATGATTAATCTTTTAGGATTGAATTAATAACATGAAAAGTCTAGAGTTTAAGTACAGCCTCCAACATCAATTTTCGTGTAATCTATAATATATATCCGGTGTAGATTAAGAGTCTTATTTATTGAACTGTTTGATACTAACAATTTCAACCGATAACACTGAGTGTTGTGCAATGAATTCATTACTCAGGACTAAGTGTGTGTTAACTTGATTTGTGTCATCAAAACAGTCGGTAAATAATATTCCTTAAACTTACTTACTTTGTGTAAACTTGCACGACCACTAAATGATATGAGAAAACCCACTTATTTTTTGCATGCATTGGCCACTATGTGGATCTTATTAAACGTCAACGTATGTTTTATGCATCACTACTCAACGATTTTCAAATATGACTGTATTCACTTTTTATTGAATAGTGGGAAATACCCATAAAGATATTTAGAGGGAAAAGAAGATATCTTTTATCAGAGACTTCATCCTTAAAAACCGTAAAGTCGAATTTATATATGCGTGTGTTTACATGGTGTCAACGGCACAGCGGTAGAATGATAGTCAACCACGCATGTTGTCGGAGATTCCATCCCTGACCGACGCACTCCTTGACCTCGCTAAGAAGGAAGATTGGGTATGAGACTAGCAACCCCTTCCCGTAAAAGTAAACATCACTGTTACCGAAACCTCAGGCCTCTAGCTCGAAGCTGTATGTTACACTGGGAAAGTAAAGAAATAAAAAAAATATGTTTACACAAATATAATTATTATTTAATTTAGTAACATAAGGGATTAAAGGTGGTAATAATTTTCAACTTGATATTTGCTTAGATGAAATAACTATCAGGAATAATTAGTTCTTTCAGATTTATAACCTAGTAGTTTCATATAACAGTGTTTGCGAGATACTTGATACTCTCTATAGATTGAATGTATGTCATAAAATGCTTGCTTACGAAAGTATTAACACTGTGATGTCATGCAGTTGCACTTTTCTAATGAGTTTTTATCTACAAAGTGGTCATAATTCACCAAAATCCTGAGGTTACATTTATGCCACTGTGAAAACATCTTGATGAGGCAAAGGTTAACGTCGACTTCCTGCAACCAAGCAACAGACAATAATTTTCAGTGTGGATTAACTGTTATTAGATCCAATACAACAGTGATAAACAGTTGACCAGCTAGAAAAAGTAGCGGGTCTGTAATGACTGACCACTTAAGTTTACGTAGATTTAAAAGGAGAATATTAGTTAGTTAGCTGGACAGAGATTAGATTTTTCTTTTTTATATGTTTAAATATCATGTGATCTACACTTAACGCTGATGTTGTTTACATGAAATATTTTTTGTCTTATTTAAGCAAGTGTTCAGCTCAAAACATTTTAAAGAACAATAGGTGTGGTTTCAGGCAAGCGATAAGTATCCAGCCTACTTCTACTCAGACATACATTGTACACTGAGCAACCCTTTAGATAATAAGCGACGGAAAAAAGTATTCCATACGGTGAACTATAGCATAATCTGTTCACTGATTGCAGAGGAAAAAAAATATAAGTTTTCTTTCTCTCCATGGAAGTCAACTGACACATAAACAACATCAAATCATTCACTTTTAATAAATTATCAATCTTTCCAACAACACAATATACAGATATGTATATAAATTAAATGTTTACCGAGAAAAGCAAATTATGCTAAAGATAATTATATATCACTATATGTTTTTGATAAGAGTCGTTTGTTATTATTATTTTTTAATTTGGGATAGATAGGTAGATAAGTATACTCACTGAAGGCCTATCGAATTTTGTGTAAAAACTGACGAAGTGAAGTGTAATTTGAGCTTAGGATAAAAAAAAATGAAAAAAAATAATTTCACCAGCAAATATCAAAGATCATTGATGCATTATGTTTAAATTATAGAGAATGTGTTACATAAAACAGATGCTAACTTGATCAGAACAACTACATATAGATTTCGTCTCAAAGTTTTCTTACATGCAGGAAAAATATCCTGTGATAACTGATATAATGAATATTGGAATAGTATTCACGCCTAAGAGTCTATTTTGAAAGAAGTGAATACACATCATATCTTACAAAGTTTCTAAACACTGTTCTTATCACTTCATTTACCAGAGTAAGTAAACTTGGACATTTTATAAACTCTTCTTGAGTTCACATGATAATAACATGTATGAGTCTAATTAAATAAATAGTGTTAAATATATTAAACATGGCTAGAATGAGATTAACAATAGTTTTTTTTTGTCTGAGTGAACAAATTCGGTTGTAACCGACTTATGGATACCATTCCAATCAAATGTAGTAAGCTCGAACTAACCCGAACTTTAATTAATTTGAATGATTTTAAAACATCACTTTCAAGGCCATGAAGAATAAAGCACCTCAAAGTTGTGCTTCAGATATGTGGTCACAATGCCTTCTCTCTGTGTAAGTGCTTTGGCAAGTACATGTAAACTGCTAGATACTACTGGAGGTAACATGGAATGAGGATTTGACAACCTGGAAATCTTATCCTGTCTAACTTTTTGTTTACGCTTTGTTTAATTCCATGTAGGAGTTATAAGTCTTTTTTACTGATATTTCTGGATAAATGTAATCACTTGACAGAATAAGCCTTCTAGAGAATTATTATTTATTGTCTATTATTCTAATAAAACTAAATGGTGCTTATATAATTTAATAATCTATATTAATGTTAAGCTACTGACTAGTTTAGCAGTTATAGAATAAGGTCATATATGCATATTAATATACTCCGAATATCTCTGCTTCAACCAGAATGCCTCGTTGACAACTTTTGAGCAATACACAGTATAATCTGGATGTGTTGCATTTCACTCCATTTGTAGAATTTGTTTTCCATATGAGTTGTTTAGATATAATCTGGTGAATAGATGAAGTGCATCTACTACCCACCGATCGAGAAGGCTAAAGGCTAGGCATGTATTACAAATAATATCAGATGGTGAGTAAGTATCATAAAGCTTTAAGTTTTCACTTTTAATAAATATCACCATATGAAGTATTTTGGAAAAAAGAATTTACCTTTTGCCGATTTACCCTGACATTTATTATTGGTAAAAATACCATGTTCAGTTGACATTTCAACTGCATACTAACCTTATCTTAGGTAATTTTTTTTCCACGAATAATAGTGCAGTATAGTTATTACAGACAACAAAGATTATATCTACAGTTACAAAGGAAATGAACTGGTACAGCTAAATGGAACATATAAAAAAGAATGTAGGTCAGCCTATAGTCTGTTCAAAATGCTACTTTGTCTTCACATTATGTACTTACAATAGTAAAATACCCTTTTATAATCTTCTTGTCACTTAAAAAGTTTCTGGAGTTCAAAAAACTTATTTTTCTCATAGTAGATTCAGTCACCAATTAGTACTAGTTAGCGAACCATTGGAAACCCGGCAATCGTGGACAATTGTCTGGTCCTTGTTCAATACTCCTCAGTATTACACGCCTGTGAGCATACTAAAGATAAGACTCTGGTCCAAGAGGTTACATGGTGACCATCAATAGGTTGGAATAGTATGGTCAATGAATTTTAACTCCTGGTAGGTTTCACCATTTAGCGCCACCACTGTGCTGTGTCGTCGTCAAATATCTGTACCCAAACCCAACTTCGTGGATCTCATCAGTCACGACCGATCAATAAAACGCCGAAACATCTAACCCGCAGTAAGTTAAGCAATAAGCGGTGGAAGTTAGAATTCCTGGGACAACTCAGTGACAGAATCATAATGTACTCACCTTCTACTCTGTATATTTTGAGTTCGACTCTTAGTGTATGGTCACAGTTTAGGAGTGTCGAAGAACACTATAGTACAGTGAAACAGCTTCTAATGCTTCCTGGTCCTGAATAGGTATCTTACTGATTTCGGCTCCTGACAAAATCTTTCCTAAAATCAGTGTGAACCCTACAAGTCAACCCTTAAAAATTGATTTTCTATTGGAATATTGGATTGCAAAGGTATTGAAAATGATGCCAATGTTACCATTTATCTACTAGTTGAAAAGGTATGCTCTATGAATATGAGGAATAATTTGACCACAAAACGTTATAAGAAAATAAATAATAATGAATCGCTGTGTGGTGTGTCGGATAAATCATCTTATTATGAGGCATTCTGATATTAATGGAACTTCAGTAGATTATTTTGGTTAGGCATAAGATATGTGAAAATTAAATTTCATATCAGTTATATGTAATTACTAATTGCTATTTGTCCTACCCACTTAATCAGGAATGCAGACAATGTTTACCCTTGGAATAACTACATGGTGTATACACTTAAACGTGTAAAGCACTGAATTATTTGCTACTTATCACAAGATTTTTCTTATCACATTGTTTGAATGGCTAAACGTTGTATTGTTGTCACCTTTCGAAGGTTATTGTCTACAGTTAATCCGCACCATTCTGGTCTTAAGGAATAAATATATTCATTTTGAAGGAAGACCTGAACATTCGCCAACAGCATCCATCATTCGTTTACCTGCCACCTGGATCGTAAGGAAGTATCTCGTTGAGAAGATTATAATTCACTTATCTCATAAACAGACTTTCTTCTATCATTTGATTTTGAACTTAGTATTCGGATAATTACAATAATCTTTATTCCTGTACGTTGCCAGTGGAACATAGGGCTTTTAGATGGAGGCCTGAATTTTTGGTAACAGTAGCGTTTATGTTTACGGTATGGGGTTGCTAACCTCGTGCTTAACCGTTCCCCCTAGCGAGGTCATGGAATGTTTCGGTCGGGGATCGAACGCCAGACAGCATGCGTGGTTGACTATCATTCTACCGCTGTGCCATCGACTCACT